GTTTGGAAACAACATTCCAGAAAACTGTGCGTGCTGTACATTTATTTCTGCTTATTATGTTTATATTTCTTAAAGGAAGTTCTAACTGCAATATATCTCATTTTTTTATAGCGACAAGAGATTATCTCAGAGGACTGGTATCTTGACTCATCCACTTTACCTCTGTCTGTTTCTTTGGATACCTCTTACTGTATTTCCATTCAAGTCTTTTCACCGACACTAACAAAGGTTGGTGAAGAATCAGAAGAAAAATGCATCTCACCAACTCCCAAGTCCCGCCTAGGTAAAGATTTTAAATCTTCAGTAAATAGATAAATTGTACAGAATATTCCATCCTAAAGCTCAACACATTTCTATCAGCATCTCATTTTTACATGTCTGTGGGAAAGGTTTTTCTCTCAGTGTATTGCAAAGTATTATTTATTGAAAAATCCCGACAAGCAGAAGAGAGCAAAAAAGCATAAGTTGGATTCTCCTCTCCTCTCCCTCCCATCCTCCAGTTTTCTTTTCTCTTTGCTTATAAATTCCATCTAGTAATATTGAGAGAAAAGAACCATTATTTCGAGATGATAAATTTAATATATCTGATTTTAAAATGCTGAAATTTGCATTTCAACTTGCAGAACGTCATGATAAAAGTAACATATAGTGTATGTCTAGGTTGAACCTCTTTGTGTACTTTGAATTAAGCATCGTTTTCTTCAGTGGTGCTTCTTCCCTACCAAATTTGTCAAAAGATTGTGCTTTTAAAAGAATGAGCTAGAGAATCAAAATGTATAGTTTGGAATAGTGAGAAATTAGTTGGAGTTTATAACTGGATTGTAGCATATTTCTCTTCCCCATTTTTTAATTAAAAAAAAAGAGGAAGGCTATTCAAATTTTAACTCTTGAAAAATAATGCACAATTCTATACCTTTCCAAATTATTGGTTTTCTCAATTGTTGCTAAAGTGATATCTTTTTATGAAAGATGGATATATTATATGATTTATTATACTGACAATTGAAGTTGCAACTAATGAATATCCATTTCAGGGGTCCTAAATGTAGGTAATTCTGACCATTCATAAATTTAGGAATTAGAATTTTTTTAAAAAAAAAAAGTCTAATTTTTCTAAGTCTATTGGACCAAGAGTTTCAGGCTGGAAAAATTGCACATGGAAAGTAAATTCTAGCTTTATAAACAACTGCATTATAGGAATTAGTGTCACAGTCTCATTGAAAATTCTTCAAGGATATATTAACATTTTGAGACAGTATGGATTTATTGGTATAGTCATAGCAGGAATTATTACCAAAGTGCATCTGTAGTTGACGCTGCAATTATTTATAAAGTTATTCCGAAACAACTAATTCCTGCCAACTAATTAAAATCAGTAAATGAGAGAAGAGATAGTCCATCCTATTGAGGAAAAGAAATGTTGGGAGTCCTGAATCTGTTTTATAGGACTTGGCAATTCTATTCTGAGCTGTCTTTTTTTAAAGTAGCATATTTTTAGCAAAATATTTATATTTTTATACATTTGTACACAGTTTAACATCCAAGCACTAATGCAAGGTTTAAGGCTGAGTGAAATATTTCTACTGATATTATTTCTAACTGTGGTATGTACTTGTTCTGCTTTTCTAAGTGGTTCTGTCGTCTTTGCTTTCCATGAAGCTTTTTTTCTCATGATCTCTGTCCTGGAAAGTATTTATATCTGTATAATTGTACCGTTGTCCAAAGTTGGAGCTGCACTGGTTGTACAAAATATTATTGTGGAAGTATTTCAATCTGTTGGTTTTCTCCATCCCTAATTTGCTATGATATCAAGCTAGTTTAGCTACCTCAGTATAAAATGATTTTACAATTGGATTCATTTAAATACACTGGATTATGCTTTTTTGGACAGTGGCTGCATACATTTGTGTGTTTAGGGAGTTGCATGAGTTCATTATGCTTTATTAAAGAAGGACCAGTTAACTGCTGGATAACCATATATCTTCTGTTTTTTTGAGGTGTATAGAAAATGTACATCACATGGTGATAATAGGCATTCAGCATTAATTTTATACAATAACGTGTCTTTTTTTAATTTTGTAGGTTTTACCCTATTTTTATGTTTTGGAATTATTGCCTTGGTTACTCTGGCAATCATTCTTGTCGTAGTCTTTATAAAATGTCGGGAGAGAAGAATTACGCTTCCAAAATCTCTGGTAAGTTACCCCAATATCTTTTGTTCTGTCTGAGCTACCAGCTTTATGTTTATTGCAAGGTTACTTTAACATAATCTTGGAAATCTGAAAGTACCCCACCTGCCCCTTCCTTTTACTCTCCCAAAAACCAGGGGAGGGTCTCTTCTGAGATGCTTTTGCCACTGCTTCTCCTTCACACTCAATTTTCATTTATCAGATCTTTGTCTAGGGCAGGGGTAGGCAACCTTGGCTCTTTTATGACTTGTGGACTTCAACTCCTAGAATTCCTGAGCCAGCATGGCTCAGCTTGGAAACCTCTCCCTTTCCCCTCAGCATGGCTGGCTCAGGAATTCTGGGAGTTGAAGTCCACGAGTCATAAAAGAGCCAAGGTTGCCTACCCCTGCCCCAGACCATTACAGTGGGTTTGTGAGTTCGACATTTCTGTCATTAGAAGTGCTCTCTAGTAAGCCTTATGTTGCTGCAATGAGGCGTCGCTTTGCGGAGAAAAATATCAGGGGCACCTCACTATCCCCAGAACCCATAGAAGGCTAGTAGCAATCTCAATATTTATTCAGCCATGATAACATTATAAATAAGATCAGAAAGCCATAGTAAAAAAGGGATCCTAGTGAAGTCCTAAAAACACCTTGTTTGTTCTTTGGTTAGCCAAATTATTTGTCCTTAAGGTGGACATTAATAACCAGTGTTTTTGGATGCTTAAGGAGACCATTTGTTTGGTCTTGTGATAATTGCTTGTAGTAATTTTAACATAATAACTGGGCAAATGCCAACTAATTCTGGCAATCTAAGTTTTATGGAGGTTGTTTTCCATTAACTTCCTTAATGCTTCTATGAGATTTCTCAGGAAAGGGTGTAACAGCCTGACAGTACGTTTTTGTATTCAAATATAAGACAAAATCAAAGAGAAGCAAAGGAATATTTATTAAGCAATACTAATTTCAGAATCCTGTTACATATTACTTGCAACCAAATCCAGCAACTAGTATTATCTGTATTCAGGAGCAGAATCTCTCTTAAGTATTATTCATGCAGAAATACCCCCAATCAAAGCAACCAATGTTGACAATAATAGCAAAGCATGAGTTATATATGCATCCCCATCAATCTTATAGTGTGGCTCTCAGTGCAGGTCTTTATATTTGTTATCTTACTGGATACATTTAACTGTTGCATCATCATCATTATTATCACTATTAATATTATGGTTCATTGCACAGTCAGCCAGATGTTCAGACTGGGATTGGCATTCTTGTCTACCTATCGAATCCTTCCCAAGGTCCTGGATAGGCAGATCTGGATGTTTGATGGTATTACAGATAGCGTCGCAGGATGAAAGTTGTTCCCAATAAAGCCACCTTTTGCAATTGACTGATGGCAACATTGTCAATGCCAATGGCGTTCAAGTCGTGCTCTAATTGTTCATTATTATTATTACTATTATTTTAGTTGGTTGAACAATCAGACAACTATTTAGACTGGATTTTTATTTTTATCTGCCTATTAAATATTTCCCAAGAACCTGGGTTACAGTGTTAAAGGTATATGATTGCTACTTGTTTTCATGTGGAAAGCAGTAAGATAAAGTTTTATTAATTGGATGAATGTAACATCAATATTGTCCAGAATGTTAATTGTTGGTCTTCCAGTATCTTTCCTCTTAGTTTTATTTCAATTTCCATTAAAACTATAAACCAAATGACTTGTGAATCATGGATTACACATGTTTTGGTCACGTTCCCTGACCAAGCTTATGAATTTTAGAATCCACAAATGGTAGTGTACCATCAAATAAAATGTTTAACTTTAGAATGCACATTGTATTATAAAGATATTTCATCTAAATTCACTACTCAGTAGTTGAGGAAAAATTTCAACATATTCCAATGATGTGGACTTTGGATTTATTATGTGTTATCAGGTTGTTGACTCATAGCAATTACATAGTTTTTCTCCATGATCCTGATCTGTTAGGATTATTGATTAATTAATTGCCTATCACATTTATATGGTACCACAATCACACAGAGACTCTCAGTGTCTTAGCTGATTATGTCAAAATAACAGATATCACTTAAAATATATAGCCACGTATATTAACTTGGTCTGTGTTCCCCTTTGCTCAGTATTCATTCAGTAAACTTTCAGCAAAAGGTTATGATGCATGAACAGTGCCATAGGACTTTACAGGTAGTCCTTGATTTATAATCACAATAGAAACTTCTGCAACTTTTTTTTCCCATAGCCCTTAAGTGAGACCATGAGTTGCGACCTCTTACTGGCTTCTCCATTGACTTTGCTTATCAGAAGCCATTTGAGAAGGTCACAAATGGCAATCACATGAATGCAGGACACAGCAACTGTAAGTGCAAGCTGATGGCCAGGCACTTGGAGTGCAGTCATGTGACGGCAGGGACATAAGTAGGAGAACTGATCACAAGTCACATTTTTCAGTGCTGTTTTAACTTAGATAGCTAAAGGAAGGGTCCTAAATCAAGGACCAATTGTACAGAGGGAGAGAGAATTTGTTCATTCTCAACTAGGAAAAACCTAGACAGATCAAGATCTCTCTGTCCTAGTTTCACCTGCCAGATTTGGGATAGTTTAGCCCTGTGCTATAATTCCTATTTCATCTCTTTCTGCAGTTCTAAAAAATGGAATGGATGACTGATTTGTTGTTGTTGTTACATTTTTTTAAAGGTGGCTGTGGTAAGAAACCAAGTCAGCAATGCCGAATTTAAGTCAGAATGCAAATATGACACTATAACATCAACATCCTACAAGCCAATGGTAACGTGTGAAGATGAAAAACCAGTAGAGAAATTAGATGTCGCTGAGAAGGTAAATATCGCTGATCCCAATTATAGCAAAGAAGTAGATATCGATGATTCCCAAGGAATCCAAAGAGCAAGGAGCATCCAAGAGGATATGGCTGTAGAAATCTCTGAAAATGAACAGATTCATGAAGACAATGTCACAGATTACTCTAAATCGATCACTGGCCAAGACACATGTCCTGATCTTCAAAATCCGGATCTTCCCAGAGCAGATGTCCAAAAACCCACTGTCCTAAGGTGCTCAATAAAACCATCTGGGTATGACAAACCCCACTGGGTAGACCTAAGTTCTGGAGAAGAATTCTGATGACCCTCCAAAAATTGGAAAAACCGTTTTTCCTATGAAAGAGCATTATTGGAAACTTCATCAGAAGCATCCACAGCCATGCTTGTGAGCACTTTAATCCTTGCAGTACAGTGGGACTTCATATAGCTTGATGGTATAAAACCTGACATGAGCACTTGTAGATGTCGAAGAACTGAACTGAAGCTACACTCCTATAGATACTTGGTAAAAATAAGTCTTATTGCATTCACTCCATTTTGAATAGATATTCGTAAGATTCTAATAGAATGGTTTCATGATATGCCAAGAAGCTACTTTGATATCCTTTTATTAAGGAGCCGGTATTTTTTAAATATGTTAAGACTATAAGTCCTATAATTCTTTCCTAGTGGCCTTGATGATTGTGTCCTGGAATAACTGGAGAGCACTATTCTGCCCTTTGTTCTCAGAGCAATTATTTTTCTCCTGCCAAAAGTATAAAGACGGTTAAAGATAGAGGGATTAATTGACAAGAGACTGGGAATATTAGAAATGTAGTTTACTATATGTAGTAAGGGCAGTTTGTGCAGTTGGCTTTTTGCTGATGGGAGAAAAATACAAAGAGTCCAACTTTTAAAGAAATACTAGAAAAGCATACGTTTCAGCTAAGGCAGTGATGGCGAACCTTTTAGAGACCAAGTGCCCAAACTTCAACCCAAAACCCACTTATGCATTGTCGGGTGCCGGGTGGGTGTGGCCCACTGGGTGGGCGTGGCTGCGGTGGTAACAGCAGTCTGGGTGGGACTAAAAAGTTCAATCAATCAATTCCAAGATCATTTTTTTCCCTGCAAGAAGTTAAAATTGACTGATTGATTGAACCTTTTTTTTTTGTACACGGCGGCGGAGGCCTAAAGCGAAAAGGTTTTATAAAACCCAGCTGAAGGCCTAGGACCGGGGCAACGGTGCACGTGCCCACAGAGCGCTCTGAGTGCCGCCTCTGGCACCCGTGCCATAGGTTCGCCACCACTGAGCTAAGGCATTTCCGTTAAGAACTTGGGAAGACCATAGTAAGTAAATGGAGCTATGTTGTAATCAAGGACTTTCACTTTATGTAAAAAGGCTTACTGGTTTCTGCATGTGTTAGATCTGTACACTATATATGACTCATAAGTGTATGAACATATGTTATCTTTGCAGATATGGAAAATACTTGCATCATTTATAGCAAATAATTGGGCCATGGTAAATACTTGGGCCATTTGTTTAGTGTCTATATTTACAGTATATATTTTGCCAGGTGATTATTAATCTTCACTGTGCATTGGAAAGTGTTAAACAAGTAGTTTACAGCTGTGACACATGAAATGGCCCGCCAGCATTAAGGCTCTTGTTTCTACATACAGTCCATAAATTCAGGGAGATATAATCACCTCCCCAAACCTGGTATCTCCAAAAGTGCAATTCCCAGAATCCTCACGAAAAATAAAAATCTGGGACTTGTACTCCCAATAGCACTGAAAGTACCAGATTAGTGAAGCTAGACTAATCCATTGTACTTTACAAACAAAGGTTTTATCTTCCTTGACTCTAACTAGTTTGGTAACACTACAATTTATTTGAGAGGTAGTGAACTGTAGTGGTTAAGGTATTGGACTATGACCATAGAGAGCCAGGTTCAAGTCTACCCTTAGCCACAGAAGTTCACTAGGTGACTGGCCCAGTCATTCCAGTCAGCCCAGTGTTCCCCACAGGGTTGTTGGGAGGGGGAATGGCGAAGTAACTGGTATCTATACGGCCTTGATCTTGTGAGGAAAGGCAAGATATAAATCAGTAATACTTAGATCTGGACCCCAATAGATGTTAAACGTTGAGATGACTATCATTTTATTACAGGATAGCTTTCCTTGACAGTACGTATCTTGCAGCAACTATATCAAAATAAAGAATGCAAGGGCAAAAAAAATACAGGTAGTCCTTGCTTAACATCTGCCCGGTTTAACAATCATCCATAGGTTACAATGATACGTTAGAGCCAGTCCTCAAAAAACCATTTCAGCATCCCTGTGGTCACAAGTTTGAGATTCCGTACTTTACACCCAGCAGGTGTTCATGACTCACAGCGTTTGCAATTATGTGATCATCATTTGCACACTTCTCCCTTGACTTCCACAAGCAGCATCAATGGAGATGCTGGCAGTAAAATCGTAAGTCACGATCACACAATGTCTTGTTTAACAACCGCAGGTGTTTCACTTAATGAGGTTGTAAGTCTACCAGGGCCACGGGATGTCCCACTTAACAACCACATTGCTTAGCAACTGAGTTGCCAGTTTCAATCATTAAGCGATCACTACTTGTAAAGTTATCTGTATCTCCACTCTTCTTTTGTTAGCAAAAAGCAAACTGAAATTTGCTGAATTAATTAGCAGACTAGAAACATTTTATAGACTTACTCATAAGGTTATATTCATAGATTCTCTTGTCTTCGATTCTCCTTGTATATCTTCTTGACCTTACGATTGTCTGTCAATGCCTCAGTTCAGGTACACAGTCACACTATGTATTGTGGATTTGTTGTGATCCAATACAGTTTAACCTTCCTTTTTGGATTGTTGTAGCACATTGTAAGGTAATAGAGACAACCTAGTTTCCTTTACAGTTGGAAAGGCTGTGGCAACAATTCAGTAAACAAATTATCCATTAAACAACCGCTATTCAAATGAGGAACACAACTTCTGAAATTGTATCCTTACAGCTTACAAGATACTGCAAGCAACAGTTTAGGAATAAAGTATCTCCCAATTACATTGTCATTTAGTTGACTGGGAGGGTAGCTTTTTAAAATTTGATACACAAAAGATATGCTTGCTTGGGGGGAAAGATTCAGATCTCATGACAGCAACACACCAGATGCTCCAGCCTCATAAATTAGGAGAAGATTATGCATAGCCAGCTGCACCATATAAATGCCCAGTTTTTTATACTACACCATGACTCTTTGTATTTGTCATATGGTCTAGCATCTGGTCAGCCTAGTCCACCTCCTATATATCTGCTGGAGTCAGACAATATATTTATTTTGGTGTTATTTATGTTCAGAGTTTTTTCCTATATTGGGTTGTTGTTTTGGTCTTGATGGTGAGGAGAACATACACTATCAAAAATGGTCAAGAAAATGAAGAAGCAAACCATAAATTGATACTAGGAGAAAATACTGAACAAGGCAAAGGCAGCTTTCTCTGAAGAGTTGGGGTTTTATACCTAATGGCACAAGTTTGCACTATTGTGATTTGGGGGGGGGGTTGGGGTATGTTTTTCTTTGGGTGACTAAGCTTTCTAAATTTAAAAACCATAAAACTAATTTCTTATCTACAGGATTAAGGCATTCTGTCTCCCTGTAGATACAATGTAGTCTGACTTTATGGCATTCAGGATCTGTTTACAAGTATTAAAAAGAAAGTAAACATGCTTTGATTTTTCAGAATGGCTGAAAAGTGTTTATTTGTATTGCTGTTCCCATTTGTAGAGAAGCATTCAACATAGGAACTATTGTTTCGTACTCTGAATTGGCCTTGAGTGTCTTTTAATAACATCACATAAATCAGAATATTTGGTGAACATTTGTAGCAATTTCCTTAATAGACTGAAATTCGTTAAGAACCCATTCCAGTGACTAAATAAAATAGTAATTTTGAGGAAACCTCTCAGACAATACCACAAGTATCCAAAGGCTTTCTTTAAACACACACACACACACACAAAATATTTCACAAAGGACATTTATCCAGTCCTAGTTTTCAGCTGTTGCTTTTCAAACCTTTGATGCTCCAAAGTTTCATTTTGGATAAACTAGTTATTTTCTCAATATGTTTATCCAACTGTGTTATGGCACTATTTGTATCAAAAGTAGTAAAATGTTCAATTCTTGTTTCTCTACAATCTTACATACAATATATGTGCTATCTTTTCAACAGTTTTATTAGCTGTGCAGTTTGGGACATAAAAAATAGAATTCATTTCCTAGTACAACACTTTACTATCCCAAATTCATATTTAAAACTTACTTTCAACGACTGAAAAAATTGAAACCAGTTCTGGTGCCTTTCCTATTTTCTCCGACACTTTAATAACACAAACTTAGAAACATCAGTATATATGATCATTCAAGAGTTAGAAAAACAAGCCTTTACAGGACTAGAAAATTAATTATTGATGCTGAATATTTTGGTCACAAGTTCCAATTTGATTTCAAGCTAACATTTTAGTATAAATTAAGGTGCATATATCCTATCAAATAAATACATGTACTGTGTTTGAAGATTGGAATATATCCACATTATTTAACATCAAAGGAATCTCCTTATTACATAAAATACATCAAATGCAGAAAACTTTCAGATCTTTAAAATCTGAGAACGGCTTCAGGTTCAAATTTCACGAATAAGTCTGGAATTCTTTTGGGTATATAATTCCTTTTAAATAGAATGTTCAATTTGAATTTTGTAAAGATATAATTATGCTTAGAAATGCACATGTGTAAGTATGTACATAGCAAGATTTTGCTTTTGTGTGATTCATTTCAGATTCTTTTGTTATGTTTTCAGTGGTATTTTGCTCATTGTCTTAATAAATGTTTTTAAATTAATTCGGAAGTCCCCTACTTAATATTGTAACATTCATATTTTATGCAGCATTTTATTTTTTAACATATCATTGTTTGTTTAAATCTGTTTATGTTTTAAAAACAGCTGTTTAAGAACACCACTTAATTGTGAATGGCTAAGAAAGCAGTTTCCTTCAGAGTACAATACAGCAATATCAGGAGAGAGTTTCTGGGACCATGAATCTAAAAAGAAGTTTAGTAAGAGTTGAAGTATGCAAGTTACAAACCAAATAAATTTCAGAAATATTGTCAGTAGATGGCACTCTTGTTTTGCATTCAGCAAACGTAGAAGGCATCATCTGGACAGTAGGTGATTCCAAGAGACTGGGAGTCTGATTTTCATACACAATGTATAAATTTTTCTGATGATACATTACACTTTTTATTTCCAGCAAACCTTATATAAAATGAAGCCTTTCATGGTACTGACTGATAACAAAACATGTATGTATCACATTTATAGACTGCTGTAATCCCAAAATTATTGCTAGATTGCAAAGATAAAAATACACAGGACAACCAAAACCCTGTGGGAAATATATAAACAAAAACCAATCTATAAACCCAGCCAAGGTGGCATCAAGGCCTACATGCTCCTTAAGAACTCTGTCTTGAGTTTCTTCTGGAAAACAGCCAAAGCAGTAGCCAACCTCACATCCACTAGAACAGAGGTCCCCAACCTTTTGGGCACCAGGGACCGGTTACATGGAGAGAGGTTTTTCTGCGGACCGGAGGGGGAGTGGTTTTGTGTGCTGCCTGCATCATGCGGATGGGGCTTTCCTTCTTTGTGTGGTCCGGTTGCTGGCATGCTGCGGCTCGGTACTAGTCCATGGACCGAGGGTTGGGGACCCCTGCACTAGAAGGCCACTCTCCAAAGGATTGGTGTTGCCACCAAAAACTGACTTCTAGCCTCGGCATTTTCACCTCCCTAAAATGGAGAGTTGCTAGCAGTTTCTTCCAAT